GTGTTTCAACAAAACACTGAGAGTTGGACCTGTCTCTTATACACATCTAGATGTGTATAAGAGACAGCCTTAGAAGTTTGCATGTCCCACTACTCATACTTCACAATACGCCACTATCACGTTTGGACCTGAGCTAATTAATACAGCTAGAGTTTGTGAATGATAGATGATCAGTATCCACTACAGTAAATTACATCACAATTTCAGCAGACGTCAAGAGAACACTGTTTGTTTGGCGTTTGTGGTTTCTACTTTCACAATTCTGTTTGGTTTTTCAGTCTTTCTGCAAACTACTCAACCTTCACATCAAGTCCCATTCTTCTACGCTTTTCGTTTGTTACCTGTTTGTTTCTTTGATAATTTTGTTTTCTTTCTTCTTTCAGGCATGCATTCATTTGGTTGTTTATAGAATTGCATGCTCCTATAAATTTTTTCCATGGATGATCTTTATGACATTGTAAAAACTGCTTGATAATTGCATTACATTCCGAGCTGTGCATATTTCCTGCTAAATCCGGGTGCATTTTCGTGATATTCTCTCCTAGACCGGGCCTATTCCTATAAGTGAAGATGCAAATGTGTTTGTTAATGCGGCTTCCTTGAGCTGGTCGAAAGCCGGGCCTCTGCAGTACCAGCTAGGCCTAGGTGAATTGTTGTTTCGTTCGCCAGAAAAAGAAAGGCTCGCTCACACATCAGTCAGCAGACCAGAACTGACAGAGGCCTAGCCTAGGTCCTTGGCGTTAACTTGATTGCGAGAGGCCAGCCTAGGCCTACCTTATGTAATTTAGTTCTGGACGGTTTATCTCAGCCTTTCTTGATCACTAGTCTATAATTATAGCTTGTAATTCCTTTTTGTTGATCTTTATTTATTAATTTTATCAACCATCGATAATCACATGTGCACACAAACATCGCCGACGTCGGTTGTGGTCGTAAGGGGGCGCTATGTCGCATGGATGCCGGTGGTTGCTCTCATTAATCACTTTTGTAACCAATGTTTTTATGACCTTAGTAGCCCCGTTAGTAGCTTTATATCTATTAAAATAATATATGCGTTTTCTGGAGCCGTAGAAAAGTAATTTATAATTAGAGAGAACCTTATGTTTGCAAAATTAATTTGATCATTTGATTTGGTCATTTTGTTTTGATTGTAAGACTCGCACTAAATTTGTTTAAAATCCTAATTAATCAAGTTAATTAGAATGAAAATTAAAAAGAAATTAGAAATTTTAAAAGAAATAGAAAAAAAAAACAAAAAAAAACAACAAAAAAAAACAAAAAAAAGAAATAGAAAAAAAAACAAAAACAAAAAAAAAACAAAAAAAAAAGCAAAAAAAAAAAACAAAAAAACAATTGCAATTGTGAAGACTTGAAATATAAAAGTATTAACAAAAGCTTATAAAAGTGAGTTGATAAACTGCAAGCAGTAAATAGTTAAGGTAAGTAAGGTGAAGAATGAAAAATTGTGATGGGACAAAATATTTGTAAAGAATTTTTTTCCCACAGGAAATTATGTTTCCTTATTATATGGTCATGATGTGATGTCATCATGACCATATATAGTCATGATGTGCCTATATATGGTCATGATGTGTTGTCATCGTGACCATATTTAGGCATGTTAAATGTATTGTCACATAAAATCAGTGGCGTAACTAGAAGTCATGAAGTGGGGGTGCTGATGGTGGTGCAAAGGTGAAGTGGGGAGGGGAAGTGAATTTGGGGGGAAAAAGGGGGAACAAGTAAATTTTAGAGGGGCCCCCTGCGCCTCCCTAGATATGCCACTGTTTAAAATAGCCGTCCTCTGATCATCGGTAATCAATTCAAATGGGATAATGCTATGTTCACAGAACATGTAATGGTTTCCTTTCAATTAAGAGGTTATTCCTGGGTAGTGTTGTCTCTTTCGGACATCTTTGGATCCGCCCCTGAATTGGAGGTGGATTTTAATTAGGTGGGGACCTGTATTTGACATCTTTGTATTTTTCTTAATGAAGGAATTATACTATATATTTTATGATTTTATGAAGTAGTATTAAATCTTGTGTGTCAATAATTACTTATTAAGCCATTTCTGCTTCTGCATGTTTTGTAAAACCTTTGATGATGCACACTGCCCTCTAGCAGACACTGACATGTAGAAATGTGCATAAGAATTAACATTCTGTTGTCTTTTCACAACCTTCAGCATCTTCAGTACCAATAACATTTGGAGAGATTACACCTTCCAGCATCGAGTTCATCTGGTTTGATTCCTCATCTGACGTTGCATATTACAGCTTAGAGGTTACCGCAGAAGATGGTTCTGTTCAAACCGTGCTCATCCCTTTCACGTCCACAAGTCATGTTGTTGAGAATCTTCAGTCGGGAGCACTCTACGACTTCGTTTTTTCAGTTATCAATAATTACGGAAAATTCCAAATAGCGGAGTTTTCACAAAATACTGTTGGTAATTAGATCTGATTTGTTTTTTTTTTCTCTTTGAATTTCCTTGAAAATTTCCTTATTCTTATTCTTATTCATTTATTGCCAAAAACATCACAAAACACATACACAGATGACATCTAACAGAGTGAGTAGTCCGAAAACACAAAGGGAACCAAATCGCTATAACACAAGGTCAGTGTTTCCTACTCACCCAGTTTCACATAAAAATATTTGAAATTGATTAAAATACACTTAGTGCATTTTCATCAAAAACAACCACATAAAAAATTACATCAAAAAAATACAATAAAAAAAAAAGAAATAAAAAAATATTTAAAAAGTATTAAAGCATAATAAAATAAAAGGAAAAAAATTAAAGAGTAAAGCTGATTTAGATCCTGTGAAAGAAAAGAATGTTTAATTTCATTAGGAATGTCTTCCCACTGTCGCGAAAATGCATGGAATGTGGCAGGCGGAACTGGGGAGCCCGCTTTTTGGCCGAAAATATATAATGTCTCTGCAGATTTTTGTATGATCGGCTCCCTCGCAATTCATATTCCTGTTCATCTTACCAGTGCCCCCCTCCCCACTTTGAAAAACATTCCGAAGATTTCTGAGTGATGAAGGCAATTAGTTTGTGCATACAAATGCTTGAAACTTGTGGATGTATTGATACATGCATTTTTACAAGTGCTTTTACAATTGAAAGAATCCATTAGTATTTTACATACAAGTGATGTTAAAAGATAAGTTCTTCGACTCGATAAATGAGGCCAATTAAGTTGCTCTAATCATGTTTTTTAAACAATTAGAATATTTCAGTCAACTAAAAATATCACAACAAACTTTTTGCCATTTTTCAGTGAATTATAATTATTGCTGTTCATGTCATTGTCATTGGCATCATCATTATTTATTGTCCCATCAAAGAGTATATAATTGTATGAGGTCTGACTGCCTTGATTTTGCATGCGCGTAATAAAAACGGAAAACAAAGTACTGCCACAAAATAGGGGGTGTCCTTTTAGAATTCAAAGTGAGTTCAAAATCGAAAATGCCTTCTATAGACACAGCCCTCTAGTTTTTGGTTGTATTTTTAGAAAGGATTGTGTTTCAACAAAACACTGAGAGTTGGATCTCTTGCAGTTCTATGCTGTTTGTTGTCATATAATATTGATGATGTTTTTTTTAACAGTGTAAAGCTTTTGTCTTTATAGTTGATATCTCCATATGTGACAGTACTCCATGTCAGAATGGCGGACGTTGTATTGAGGATTTGAATGGCTATAACTGTGCTTGCTTAGATGGGTATCAGGGAATCAATTGTTCACAATGTAAGAAATATTCTTCTTCAGCCACTAGTACAGTAAACTGAGAGACACTGATAGCTTTAATAATCTTTATAGTATGCATTAAAAATGCTAGGATGAATTATGCAAGACTGGTAGAATTTGCCAAACCAATATTTATGCAAACAGTTTTTAAAAACAATTTATGTGTGGGTCAGCTCATTATACACTAAAAAATTAAAAAGCGGTATACCTCAACTTTTGTACAACTCATGTATACCGGTTATGAACTTACCATATGTATTTGTATTGCAGTTTTAGTATTGTTAAGTGTTATTTTAAGTCCATAATTCAATGGACCCAGATTATTCACTTACCTATTTTGTTATTTTTTAAGATTATTGATGAATGGTTCTAATAACAAAAATACTTGGGTTTTTTTCAGTGATTTTAACTGTCTCAGATGTGACAGCCTCATCTATCACCTTTACCTGGCCAGTGGCATCCTCCGAAAAAGAGGGTTATATTATCACCTTGAAGGATGCGTCCGGTGGAGTTTTTTCAAAAAGCTACTTTGTTCCTATAAGTCACATAAAGGGGAGTCATTATGAGTTAACGTTTAACAATCTGGATCCTAATGGTGATTATACGGCCAATGTCATGCTTCGCACCAGTGGAGAGGAAGGATCCATAATAAAAGTTAGAACAACAGGTATGTTACATATTCAGGTACTATGGTATTAACAATGCTGAGTTAAATCAAGGACTTTTAACTGTACCAGTATAGGAAGCTTGCTGATCTCTCACAAATACAATCTTTAATTGGAGATGGTCTTTAATTTGAGGGCTCTTTAAGTAGAGGGAGGCCTGTATTGCCATATGACCAAGGACCATGATAATGATGATAATCATATCATTTGGTTATGGTGATGACCATGATGATGGACTTGAAGTGTTGGTGGCAGCAGTGCTGTGTAGTAATATTGCTGTACAAACTACATATATAATTTAACTGAAATGATTCAGTTAAAGTTTTTGGAAATTATTATGATAGTAGTAATTTATGATTTTGTAACTGATAAGGTAGATGATAATATGGTTAACCATTTTATTGTAATTATCTCCTCAGCTCCGTGCAGCAGTTCACCATGTAAAAATCAAGCTGTTTGCCAAGATTCAGTCTCTGGATTCCTCTGCGTCTGTTGGCCAGGATGGTATGGAACATTTTGCGAAAGAGAGGTTGTCAATCTACCATGTAGTAGCTCTCCATGTCAAAATGGAGCAACATGTGTGAATAATGGAGTTGATTTCACTTGTACTTGTCCAGTGAACTTTTTAGGAACACTTTGCTCGCAGCCATTAATATTGTCAGCCTGCGACAGCAACCCTTGTCAGAATGGAGCAAATTGTTACAATTTTAATTTAGGTTTTTACTGTCAATGCCAGTCTGGTTGGCAAGGAACTACCTGCACTCTAAGGATTTCTACTACACTCTGTGATAATAGGCCTTGTCAGAATGGTGGCACTTGCTCTAGCATTGGCAACACTATTCTATGTTCCTGTCCATCTGGATGGGAAGGAACTCTCTGTGACACTGACATCAATGAGTGCATTTCCCAACCGTGCCTTAATGGTGGCACCTGTACAAACAATATTGATGCATTTCGATGTCTCTGCCCTGTAGGGTTTAGTGGTTTTACATGTGGAGTACAACTGACTTGTTTCTCTAATCCTTGCATGAATGGAGGAACATGCATTGAGTTGTCAGGGGCATATAGTTGTCAATGTATAGTTGGATATGAAGGAACTAACTGTCAGTCCAGTCTCTGTACTGACACTTTATGCATGAATGGTGGAACTTGTGTTATTCAAGCCAATGTCGCAGTTTGTTTATGCCTTCCAGAATTCACAGGAACACTTTGTGAAGTGAACATCAATCCGTGCATGTCACAGCCATGTCAGAATGGTGGAATTTGTTTTGATAGGGTCGTCTCCTTCTTCTGCCAATGTCCAGATGGCTTCAGTGGTTCCACATGTCAGCTAACTGATTGGTGTGCTAACAATCCGTGCCTTAATGGTGGTACATGCTACAGAAGTGGAAACTTTTACAAGTGTATCTGTCAAGTGGGTTATCAGGGCCAGACATGTGCAGAGATAACTATGGACTGCCGTAATAATCCTTGCTTAAATGGAGGAACCTGCACTACAACATCTGGATCTGTGTCATGTCGTTGTCTTTCTGGGATTCTCTGGCACATTATGTGAAGTTGTGGCAAGTAGATGTGGAAGTAGTCCTTGCCAAAATGGAGGGCAGTGTACGGAGTTGATATCAGGCTATCTGTGTTCTTGTCCATCGGGATATTCTGGTGTGAACTGTCAAATAAATGAAGGTAAGTTGGCTTCCAAGCTATAATTTTTCTTCGCTGATACTTTAACTGTGGAGAATAGCAGAAACCCTCTCTTTTGTGTATTTATATGATGATCTGTTTGAGGGCTTACTGGCTTTTGGAGAAGTTTAAAAGCAGTTATTGTGATTTAAATGACCTGCCAAAGTCACAAGTGAAGCCTGACCACAAGGATGAGACCCTTAATCACAGCAACTTTGTAAATTGTTCCTGTGTTCATCTGAATACTGCAGTAAACATGTTTCTTTTTACTAACAGGTTGTACTCTCAACACCTGCCAAAATGGTGGAACTTGCACCATATCATCTGGATCTGTGTCATGTCGTTGTCTTTCTGGTTATTCTGGTACATATTGTGAGGCAGTAAGTAGTGCCTGCATCAGCTCCCCATGCTTTAATGGTGCCCTCTGCATCACCACCAATACTGGTTTCACCTGCCAGTGCTCTGTTGGATTCTCTGGCACATTATGTGAAGTTGTGGCAAGTAGATGTGGAAGTAGTCCTTGCCAAAATGGAGGGCAGTGTACAGAGTTGATAACAGGCTATCTGTGTTCCTGTCCATCGGGATATTCTGGTGTGAACTGTCAAATAATTGAAGGTAAGTTCGCTTCCAAGCTCGCTTTTTTCGCAGAAACCCTCTCTTTTGTGTATTTATATATTGATCTATTTGATTGAGGGCCTACTGGCTTTTAGAGAAATTACCATTATAAGCAATTATTGTGATTTGAGTGACCTGCCAAAGTCACAAGTGAAGCCTGACCACAAGGCTAAGACCCTGAATCAGAGCAGCTTCGTAAATTGTTTCTGTATTCATCTGAACACTGCAGTAAACATGTTTCTTTTTACTAACAGGTTGTACTGTAAACACCTGCCAAAATGGTGGAACTTGCACCCAGCTAACATCTGGCTTCTTGTGCACCTGTCTCGCACATTTTGCTGGAACAAACTGCGAAGTGCCTGTCAGTAAGTACTCCAACATTAATTCTTGCATTATTACAGTTACAAATATTTGCAAAGTATAGATAGAATAATAATAGAACAATAATAATAAACAATAATATAGACATTTTTTAAATATATTTCATGACATTAAAATCAGGTTTGCTAATCACAATTATTATGAATGTTTTATTGTCAGAGAAGCTTGATATTTTGCATGTAGTGATACCATAGAGTATGTTTCCACTGCTAGAATATTATTTATGTTTATATAAATTTTATTATTTTTTATTATAAATATCTTTTATCAAAAACATAACAAGAAAATCATTTAATTAATAGATTAATTGATTTGTTAATTGACTTTACTTTTTTGACTTTATTAATTACAGACTATAACTATTGTAATAATATCCCTTGCAATAATGGAGCTGCTTGCAGGAACGATATGTTTGACCCCAAAGGTTATGTGTGTGATTGTACTACTGGCTTTACTGGTGAGACATGTGCAACCCAGATAAATGGCAACTCAGTTAACTCAGGTAATGTGGAACCATAATTATCATTGACAGGCAGATATAAGATGCTCTACGTTAAAGCCTGGTTTCCATACAAAATCGCTACACACTATCGCTGACTTCTTTGGCGATGCTGATTGGTCAGTTGAATCGGGGGCATTCCAATTGTATCGGGGACAGCTACGCAGTACAAGGATTGCAGTGAATACACTGTAGCGACTGTGTAGCGATTTTATGGAAACCAGGCTTAACAAAGCCCTGTTACGAGTCTGACGAGGTGGCGTTTTTTTTTTGTATTTGTTTTAGTTTTTTTTATTCAGCTTAAGGCACTAGGGCCAAGGATATGCCAAATAGTGAACTTAATTACTCTTCAAAGTGGAAATCCCTTCACAACACAAGCATACACACAAGATACTCTACATAAGACTAAGTCTCATTATGAGGCTGTAGAAGGTGGAGTTGTTTTTAGTCATGGGAAAAACCCTGTTACCGTGACACAAATTGAAGCTAGGATCCTGGGATTGGAAAGCAAGCATCTTAACCTCCAAGCTGTACACTTCTTTCCAAAACTAATCAACTCCACTTCTTGTTATTATTGGCCTTAGTTTATAAGCTCAAAGTATTATGTTTTCATTGTATAATGTGTTCCAATTTACTTTGAACTTGGGGGCTGAAATACAATGGGTAGTCATGCAGTATGTCCCCTAGTCCTTATAGAGTCCTTTTAGAGAAATTTCCTGGTTCCACAGATGTTGTTATGTAAATAAAAATGCTTAAATGTTTCCTTGCTACACTAACGAAATTGCCATCATTATGATTGTTGCTGTTCCTCAGACTGATAATATGATGTATTTTCAGTTTCATTGATGGATGAATGCTCTAGTAGCCCATGCCAGAATGGCGGAACTTGTCAGGATGTCATCAATGGTTACGTCTGCCAGTGTCCGTCAGGTTTTACAGGGTACAATTGTCAAAGTCAACGTAAGTTGTACATTTCTTATTCATATGCTCTATATCAGGATATTATTTATTCAACTGAACAAGAGTCGTTACTAACACTGCTAATGATTGTTGTCTAACATAAACTGCACTGTTATTCATAACCCAGTCTGTAGACATACTCTTTACTAAAGACATTCTGTAGCTCCATGACACGACCCTAGCAATACCCATCCCAACCGTCCTGCCAAGGCCACCATGAATCTTAGCTGTGCACCCTCTCTAATAATAATTGCAGATGCTGTGTCAACAAGTAGTCATTTTATCAGATATTTTATGCTATAACTAATATTTTACATTATAACTGCATTATACTTGTAGCTGAAAAATGTCCTTAATCTGTGTTATGAAACCCTATCTCCCTCCTAGAGTCATGGTAGAAGCGTCCTTGTCGCAAGCTTGGTTAACGCCAATTCTACCACACCACACAGTGGAGACGATAAGAAGAGCCTAATCTTACTCTTTGTTCTACTAATCGTTATCACCATTGTACGACTTTATTAAGACTAAAGTTGGGTACTCACTGCGCACGGCAGTCGTGCAGAATACAGCGCAATAGTGCGCGTGCAGTGAATGCCACCTACAATTAGCAGGCGGCATCGCGTCGTTTAGAGCTCACATGGAGTGGCGTTGGACGTACGATGCAGCGAGTGCCCTGCTTAGTTCAAAAGTTTACGAACTTTATTAACATACTAACATTTCTATTTCTACTGACAGTTCTATTCGTTGGCAAGAGATCTGCCCTGATGACAGACAACAAACAAATGAGGGCGCCTTACAGTGATCCAAGGGAAAAAATCGGTTCATATTTACTAATATTTATAGCATTAATCTTAACATGCACTGTTTTGTATTCAATCATTGTTTGGTCAAAATAAGATTTGATGTTTATGCTTTTATATAGTATACACCCATTGTCAGTTTATGGGCAAGTGAAACAAATGCTGTTTGGTTAGTATTTAAGATGAATATTGTGTCAGATTTTTCTTAAAATTTATACTAAGCACAAAAAAGCTGGAATATCTGACACATATAACAGGCCGTAAGTGGTTTGGGCCCCATGTTGAATGCCCCTATTTAGTCATGATGTGTCTGTATATGGTCATGATGTGATGTCATTTTGACCATATTTAGGCATGTCACATGTCACATGTCAAATAATGCACCTTGTCAGATTACTGTCAGGTAAAACAAATGCTGATTGGTTAGTGATTCGAATGAATAATGGTGATTTTTCTGTGTTTAATTTATATTAAGCAGAGGTTAACAACTTACATACATTCTGACACACTTGAGGTCAGGTCTAAAGTGAATTGAGACTGCTATATTAATTTCAGTATGTTATTTATTAACTTACTGTATGTTATTCAGTACCTTGGGAAACCATGGCCTAATGTGAAAATCCAAGATAGTATATCAGCTTACAAATTGGAAAATTTGTTTTTCAGAGAAGAATTATTTGTAATATTTATATAAATAGTGGAGGTGCTTCTCCATATGAAGTTGTTGCATTTTGTAGGACCTTAGCAGTAATATTCAGTCGTGGATGAAAGGCTGAAAGGTTCATTATGGACTTAGTGTTTGTGCTGGTTCCGCTCTGCCTATGGACACAGTGCTTGTTCTGGTTCCGCTCTGCCTAACATGTTAATTCTTATTTTGTTATTGTATTATAAGGCAGATAAATGAATAAAGAAAGAAAGAAAGAAAGCCAGACCAATACTTCATCTTTTAATAGACATCTTTTTAAAAACTCAGCAATTTCAATGGCCCGTTTAGAGTAATTTTGTATGTCAACAATTAAGTAATGTACATTCTACTGTCGTATTTCAATAGTTGTATTAAAATATTTGAAATAATTCCAATGTACGAAATTATCATGTGTTTTTTCTCAAATGTGATAATTGTTTTCTTTTATGATTACCTTACCTTTGTTAATTATTGTTCAAAATATGTTTTAGTTAATTAAAACTATAATGCAAACACATTATACATACACACAAACCATACAATAATAGACAAACGTCATAATTAAAGTGAAAGGCCTTCAGTGCTAGATGGTCGGTATAAAAATATCTATGGAAGTAATATATATATA